ATCTTGGAAGCAACAGCTTTTTCTAGGTCTCATCCAGCTTTGAGACTAAACTGTTTCACTGTCTTCCTGTGGTGGAATGTGCTTTCTCCTTTTCCCAGTGGCTATATGGAGCGTATGAAAAGAAACTTTGGGGCCCCCAGGTGGCTCAGTTGGTTAAATGTCTGACTCTTGGTTTCAGCTCAGGTCATGGTCTCACGGTCGTGGGACTGAGTCTCATGTTGGGCTCTGCACTGATAGTGCAGAGCCTGCTTGGGATTCTCTCTCCCTCCCTCTCTCTCTCCTCATCCCCAATGTGTGCCTTCTCTCTCTCTCTCTCTCTCAAAAAAAAAAAAATTAACCTAAAATAATTAGGAAAAGAAACTCCATTTGTGAATCATGCTCTGGTCCACCTCGGGAACTCTTGCAGCTGTTACAAAAACTTTGCTAAGTTGTGCTGAGACACGGGGAAGGTAAGATCGTTTTAACTATTCCCCATGCATGAATGTTTCTCTGTACACACAAAATTCTACTGTGCAACAGCCAATGACATGTGGCCTGCATGAAGGAGAATCTGCCCTTGGAGAAATGTTCAAGATTGGGACAAAGCTGCTGTATGAAATGAGGGTTTTCCCTCTGAAACTAATATGAACCCTAAGGAGGCAGAGGTGAGGGTGGGAGGGACAAGAGTTGTGCAGGTAACACAGACCATCAGGATATGTGGGGAAGAGCGATGGAGAAGGTGACCAGGTGGCTTCTAGGGGTTTCTGGGGCAGAGGTAAGCACCTCAGGGACCTGGTATCAATTCCTACAGATGGACTGGCTCTAGACCTCAGAGCCAGTATATTAGAAATAGACATGCACTGGGGCACCCAGGTGGCTCAGCCAGTTGAGTGTCTGACTCTTGATTTCGGCTCAAGTCATGATCTCATGGTGGGTATGGGTTCAACCCCATGTTGGGCTCTTCACTGGCAGTGTGGAGCCTGCTTGGGATTCTCTCTCTCTCTCTCTCTCTCTCTCTGTCCCTCCTGCATGCTTTCTCTCTCTCTCCAAATAAATAAACTTAAAAGAAAAAAAAGGAAATGAATACACCCTTCAGGTCAGGGCTTAGAAGGTGAACGTATAGTTTTTGAGCAATAATGCTAATGTCTCTAACTACAAAATCCCCTTTTAGTTTTAGTGCTTGAACCAACTTTTCTGAATGGTTCCATTGGTTAAGACTCTGTCTGCTCTGGGGAAGTCATTCTGGAACTCTGTGGCCAGCATGTATCAGAGAGCATGGTAACACAACGATGACCAAGTCAGTACAGAAACATCCCTTCAAGAATCCTTAAAAAGCACATGGGTTAAAAGTAAGTACTTGACGGCAAAAATTTCGAGGCCAGATTAGAATGGGGTTACTTTATTACAGCCAGAGAAATTATGCCAAGGATATATTTCCTTAGCAGGGTCAGGGAATCCTTTTTTATGCTGACTACATTTGTCCATCAAGTTTCTGGCAGTGCTGGTCAGCGGGGCTGAGGGCACACTGCACTTGGTACAGCCTTCAGGCGGGGCCTCACCTCTCCTTTTCCACTGGCTTCCACATCTTTGCTCATTGCTCTGTATAGCATGCTATCCTGACACAAAGTACATAAATAGGTGTGTGTGCATGTGTGCAGGTGCGCTGGGGGTAGGGGGTGAGTACCTTGAACTCTAACCTCCTGCTGGGCACAGCAGATGACCAGTGCCACACGTCACATCATCTCAGGCCAAATACATCTCTCCCGCTGAAATGGCTATTGGACAACCTTGACATCTATGCAAACTATCTGATACTAGCTCTTGGTTCTGAGCGTGTAATTTCCGTTGTGGCTAATTCCTTTGCAGTGAAACCCACGCTAATGGTGTTTATTACTTAATGTCTTTTTCAACAAGTCTGCTCTCGTGCTGGTGCTACGACTAGCGTTCTGGGCCACAATGTCACTGGGATCAGAGAGGGTGTGACTGATGGAGGCCAGGGGACAATGCCCTCTGCCTACTGGCAGCTGGAATGAAAGCTCACTTCTTGTGTTACAGGTCACACATGGATGTAAACTCTGGGAAATGAATGTCTTATTGGCATTTTCAGACAAGTAATTGCAAACATTCCCTTGGAGTTGTAATAACTCAAAACCAACTTGTCCTTCCTAAGGAAAAGTAAAGATAAATAGGCTTGTTATAAACAAAGTCATCCTCTGCTGTTGAACACTCATGGGGAAAGCTGTCCAAAGTAATGGAGTTGAATCTACTTTTAAAGGACACTGAAAAGAAATTTTGATTTTTTTGCTATTAAGCTATGACCAATTTAGAAAAATAAATAGCAAACAGAACCCCCATATGGAGGGGATATTCTTTAAAATGTATTTACTGCCCATATTTTTCCCTTACAAGGAAAACTGGACATTTCTTAGGAACTAAAATGTGATTCCAGCTTCTGCCCGGAAGTGGGTCCCACTGCCCCCCCTCTTTCTCCCAGGACCACAGCTATAGGGACATCCAGGGCCAACTCCAACCCAATGACCGCCATTGGTTCCCCCAAGTTATATAATTGTAGGGAATCCCTGCTACCCGAGGGGAGCCACTTAGCCTTTAAGCAAATTCTTGGGCCAAGATTTGAAGGCATCTCTGATGGATGAACGCTTGGGTTTCTTTCCATATTGCATCCTTCTGTGCGATGTTCCTTCTATGGTCCCCGAGGCAAAACGGATCAAGCATTAGAGTCAATGAGGTGTTTTTCATGCTCACAAATCTCATTTCTCTGAGCAATCTTCATTTCAACTACAGCTATCCATCCTTACGTTATCTAAGGAGTGACGTCGGGTCTGTTCTCTCTGCCTCTGTAATTATGAGTGAGTCAGAAAAATCTCCCTGCTCCAGCCTGAGCCAACTAGTGAGTTTTCACTTTCTATGGAACACATGCTAAACTGCAACCATGATAGAGAAGAGTTTAATTTATAAGGTAGGGAGGGGAAGGGGTCACGATGCTTATTTAATAAAATACACTGAATATTTTTATTCTGGGGTGTCTGCTTATCACTGAAATCAAACTCTGTTAATACATAAAACCAGTAAATTTGAGGTTCAAGACTGAACATTATGAAGGATTGTTCCTTAAATGGAGTACAATTGTGTTAACCTAGTATCAGATAGCTGAGTAGCCCGAAAACCTCTTTTGTGCTCTGATTTTTTTCTTTCAATGTTGTTATTTATTTTGGGCATGCATGTTGGGGAGGGGTAGACAGAGAGGGAGAGAGAAGATCTGAAGCAGGCTCTGCGCTGACAGAGAGCCCGATGCCGGGCTCGAACTCACAAACCGTGAGATCATGACCTGAGCCAAAATCCAGAGTCGGATACTTAACTGACTGAGCCACCCAGGCGTTTTTAGAATTATAGTATAGAACTGTTAAAAGACAGGATGAAATATTTCTGGCAGGACTGTTTTACTGTGATACTGTCTTGTTTCCAGATACTATAGGAACCTTTAACAGAGGAGAGACACTCTCCTCCTTCCCACGAGTTTGCCAAGTCTTTGTGCCACCTTTTCTGATGGTATTGTTGGTAACTTCTGTTTAAGGGCAAAAGCAGAATTTTCCAGGCATGAGAAGGCACACCGGACCTCACATGGGACTGAGAAGGGAATGGAAGTGGGGAAGATGGGTTGAGAGGAAAAGAAAGAAGCCATTACCAATGTCTGGGAGGGGAATAGACATTTTTTTTCTCTTTCCTTCCCACCCTAAGCACTAGGGTCTTAGCACTGGCCAAGATTCCCTGCTGTAGGGTGGATGCAAGCAGCCCAGACTCAGGTAACTTGTGAGCTGGACCCAAGCTGAATTCTGGTGACCAGTTAATACCTCAGCTGTAAGGTGCTTCCTTCGATAAACTGAATTAATGAGACCCCTAGGGGTATTCCCTGAAAGAACGGAGATTGACTTTTCTTCCAGCCTGATTACATTTGATTTAAAGGGGGAAGAGAAAATGAGAGTGACATTTCTTGCACCTTAGTATTCTGACCTGAAACTGATACAATAACACACACACCCCTATTCATATTCGTTTATCACTATATGTACAAACGTGTGCACATTCCCCAACACATTGTGGAGGGTTTGGGAAGAGTGCCAGAAGAGGTGCCATAGTTTTCTTCTAATCTAAGTAATTAAATTAAGTTTGGATGATTTAAAAGCAATCATCTCCCTTCCAATGAATTTGGGGGTTTCTTGTGAGATAAGTCAGTCACAAGGCACAGGTTACTTGGACTCGCCCTGGACGGAGATCCTTTTACACCCTCCATTTCCTGCTCTGTTGGGAAGTGGTGCACATTCCCTGGGGAGGAAGAAAGTCCTGACGCAGAAAGGATTGGCCCTGGGGGGGTGTCTGAGCCACGGGGACCTTAGGAGATGATTCTTTTAGGTGCGCGGTCTGTGCACTTTGGACCGTACGCATTTTTGTTTGAGAAAGATCCTCATTTCACTGGTGGGCTCACAGACTGAGTCACTGATGGGCACTGTGGTTCCGAGTGTTAAGCTAGAACAATCTCAGAATGGTAGGGCCCTGCTTCTCCCAAGCGTGGTGCTGAAAGGAGCTTTCAGCCTGCGGATCAGCAATGAAACCAAACCTCAGCTCTGCTCTGCAGTTCTGATTCTGATCAGAGATGGACTCATGCCACCCGTGATGGGAAATTCAATTCCTACACTTACTTGGGACTTGACTCCATGAAAACAAAGCCTGAAAGCCAAAGTCAACTGGGAGACGCAGCATGTTGGTAAGCTGAGTAGACTCCTCTGCTCTCTATGGCTGGAATAAAGCCCCTCCAATAGGGCCCTGGATCCCTTCCTAAGGCCCGCTTTAAAAGACTGGCTGCTTCTTCTTGGGGGGAAAAGGTGGCATATTTTTCTTCCTTTCGGCTCCTGCTAAGGGTGCTCTAGTACCGTAATTGACAAGGTCATGCACTTGAAAGCAAAGGCATGGCCCTGCTGGGCAAGGCACCCACTAGCACCACGTACCGTGCACGGTTACGCAGAGGCTCTTCGGTCAGCGTGTTAGAGGAAAGGGTGACGCAGCTGCCGTACATCTCCTAGAGAGGTGCAATTAGACATCGTCTGAAAACATGCAACAAGTTCAGCACATGCACACGTCTCAATAAACAGGAGGCATGCGGGAGGCAGATTAGTGGACAGAAGCTTCCCACGTACTTCGAGGGCCATGGGGAGCCCTTGAGATCCTTCGCTTACTCCTGAGCGACAGAACCCATTAAGTTACTCGGGAATGTCTTATTCGAGCGAGGTAAGTTTGGACACATGAAACCCAAAGGGGCTGGGGTTCGGTCCACGGGTGTGTCTTTTTGGATTGAAATGTACACATGCTGAAGTCCTTTGCAACAAAGGCAATTCACGTTGGAAACTAACATATAGTTAAAATCAACATTCAAGTAATTAGATATTAACTGAAACTCGATTTTGGTATTGCAAAAGGAATTTGGACAGTTCTTCAGCCTCGCTGTAACGGATTTCTACCTTATGCCAAATTATCAAATATGCAAGTTGTGACTGTCTAGGTCACAGGATGGATCCTCTGGGTACTTCTACTCCTTGGGATTTCATGTTTTGGCTACTATACCATTTTTTCGATGGCACGGTGTGCACGGAGCACAGAGGACACATAGCCTAAAAAGATGTTCGTATCTCCCATTCACCGGTTTTAAACCACACATTACAGTGCCCTGTTTTCTCGTAAATGCAGTTTTAAAATATAGCTCCTGGCACACTCTGCCATCCCTTATGTACTGCCAAGCGCTTCAGACCACTACGGCGTCCTGATCAACACTCAGGGGTGAGCGGTGGAAAATGCCAACGTGGAGGTCTCTGCGGTGTATTCATTTCAAAGATCATTCCAAAGTGGAGTAGTTAAGTCGTTTGGAAATAGAGTTTCCATTTATGTGCTCTTTCATCCGACTTGAGGATAAACTATCTGGTCAGACGAGGAGAACAAACTCTTCCTGAGGCACAATCTGTGCCAAGGAAGGGCCTGATTTCATATCGACTGGGGATCTCCTCTTGCAGCAATGCTCCCCGTTTAGGACTCCTAACACTCAAGGATCAAACTATGTCGGGAAACTGGGGGACCAGACTATAACCTCCTGTGATTTATTTAATCTTTCTCTCTTAGCGTATTTTTCAAGGGAAGAGCAAAGTGTACATATGCTCATTCGACATAGCTCCTTAGAAAACACACGGACTTGGCTGTCCGTGCATGCTTTTGGGATTTTTCTGGGAGATTCCCTCAAGGTGGCAAAGGTCGGCAATCTGTAGTGTTAGGAACAGCACAGCGAATTCAAAGGCAAAACAAAACGGGGGGGGGGGCGGTATTTTCCAAGAAGCACTCACCGCCTTATTCTTTCCTTTGCAAGCAGAGCTCACGGGATTTCTCTTGGTGTCTGTCGTCTTCCTTCCAAGTGAGGTTAAGGGCAGTGTGGAGGTCTTCAGCTGGTTGGCTGCCTGGTAATTGTTATTATTGTTCTGGTTGCCGCTGAGTGTCTCCATGATAGATCGGAAGGTTCCAAAAGGCCTTTTCAGTTGATCCCCTGATTCACTCCCCGTGGAGGTCCTCTGGGGGGTCCTGCCCTTATCTCTGTCCTTCTCCCCCGTGAGCTCAAGGCTAGCCTGCTCCATCTGTACCACAGGCTCCTCAAAGGTAACTCGCAGTTTCAAGTTCTGAGATGTCCGGCGCTTGGAAGATGGAGACTTGAGGGCACTCTTGGGGCTCATGGCCACTTTCTGGGCAGCGGTGCTGTCAGGGCTGGGCTGAGCGGGGTCTCCGGAGGGCTGGCTTGGGGGGGTGGTCGCTGAGGCGGGACACTGGGATTCCAAGTCGGGTTCGCTGCTCTCAGAGGTAGGAGATGGGCTATGGCCGTCCAGGGATTTGGAGGCTTTGATGCCAAAAGGAAACCTGCGTCCTGACGCTAGCGTGTGTTTCTTGATCATCAGGTGCAAGCTTTCTGCACTGTCCACACTCTCCACGCTTCCCACGATGGGCTGTGGTCTGGGCCTGTCTGCCTTCCTCATGGGTGTGCTCTTGGGGTCCTCAGAAGTGTTGGAATCCGTGTCGGACTCACTCAGGGACCGCTGCATCAGCTGCCTCAGCCGAGCCAGCTTCAGCTCCCTCTTCTCCACAGGGACCTTCTTTGAGTTTCTCGAGGAAGCCTGAGCATCCTGGAATTCCAAGGACAGCTTTTCCTGGGTACAGACGCTCTCCGAGATGTCTTTCCCCAGCAACTGGCGGAGGATCTTATCCGAGTCTTCATCTTTCGCTTTGGCACGGGCTCGGCTGGATGCTGACAGGCTTCCGAGAACCTGAATCCCTTCTTGGCCTCCGGGTTTGCTCTTGGCCACAGACTCCTCATCCGCATCTGGAGATTTCCACTGGGACCTTCTGGAAGCTGGGGAGGACGGCGAACTGAAAGATGATGAAGAGCATATGAGGTGATTTCCTATCCCTGACTGCCTCCACTGCCACTACCGACTTACAAATTGATGGGACTCAATGAGAAAAATGGCTTAATGTCTGTGCACATCAGTCTCCAAATAACACCAGAGGGGTGACCACGACCAAAGTGTAGTGTGCCTCATACCTACTGCCATGATGAGAGATGTGGCTACCGTTTTACGGTTGACACATCAATTTTGCACCAGCAAATTGTATCCATTTTCCTCATGTTCACCAACCTTATGTACCTACACAGCCTTATTTCCATGGCACAGATGAAGAAGTGAAGGAAACTGAAAGAGCACACGACTTGTCTGCAGTCAGGGAATGAAGACCCAGCAGAGACAGGGATGAAGCCAGGCCTTCTGGCTTTGGGTTCAGGGCCCTCTCCCCCTGCAATGTCTCATATTTATTCCTCTTTATAAAAATAAAATATTGGGGTGCCTGGGTGGCTCAGTTGGTTAAACTTCCGACTTTGGCTCAAGTCATGATCTCGCGGTTCGTGGGTTCGAGCCCCTCGTCGGGCTCTGTGCTGACTGCCAACTCAGAGCCTGGAACCTGTTTCAGTCTGTGACTCCCTCTCTCTCTGACCCTCCCCTGCTCACGCTGTCTCTCTCTCTCTCTCAGTAATAAATAAAACATTTTAAAAAATTTTAAAAATATTTTGTTTTCGTCATCTTTAAAGGTATTTTTTTCATAAAGTCCAAAAGAAGGCTCAGAGATTAAAGACAACTAAGAACTCTAACTATCATTACCTGGGAGAAGAAAGGAGTGACTTGCCCTCTGATTTCTGGGCTTCTAGAAGCTGCTGGAGCTGGTTCTGCAGTGTGACACGTTCCACTGTCTGTCTGGGGAAAAGGAAGTGAGACGCATAAGCTCTCTGATCCATGACCACGACTGTAAATGAGTAGGTATAAACTTTGTCATGATAATTTGCAATAAATCCCAGAGCCTTACCCATGTGAGTGTCCTTCATCCTTTCAGTGCAGAAATTTTCCTAAGGTCACAATCAAGTACACAAAAGGATGCTTATTATTCACATTAGCAAGAAACTCTAAGGAGCCTAAATGCTCATCAATAAGACTGAGTGAATTATTTAGTTGTTTCCACAAAGGCAGCTATTAAAAATGATAATCTATTTCAGTAATCATGACATAGAAAAAGTTTCCCTAGTATATGTATAAAGTAGATGTATAGATACATATAAATATATATACATACATGTATTAAGTAAAAAAGGAAGTTACAAAATTCTGGATGTACGGTAAAATAATTGCATATATTGTATATAATATATATAAATTTTAAGAAATCTCTGTGTATAAAATATAGATTACTAATAGCAAATATATTATGCTTATATATATTATTTACTCTTTCCACATTGTTTAAATCTTTACAATAATTGTATTAATCCAGTGATCAGGAAAGAGCAAAATAAAAACACCAGCAGGCTGTTTCCGCAGTGGGTAAAAACAATTAAATAACCTCGTATTTTCTTCTATAAAGGGAAAACATAGTACGGCAACACTCAATTTATTCTGGGCATAAAAGCAGAATGTACTTTAAATGGTATCAGAGTGTGCTTTAAATTTAAGAAAAATCAGTTAAAAGCCACAGGTGATGGGAACTGAAATCTGTTTAGAAAACATATTACTATAGAACTTGCAAAAGTAATTCCAACTGATTTTGACGTTAGGAGAATAAGAAGTATTTACTGAACTCTCTGTATTAAGTTTGGTGACCACCTGTTCCCCCCCGAGCCCTGCCAAGAATGTCCATCACATTCTAATCCCTGGAAGGTGGGAGTATATATTACCTCATGCAGCAAAAGGAAATTAGTGTTGGAGACAGAATTAAGGTTGTTTATCGGCTGACAGAAAACCAGGAAGGTGATCTTAGATTATTATTATTGGTATGCAATCTAATCACAAGACTGTAACAGTGAGGAGGAGGCAGAAGATGAGGTCAGACACCCTCAGTGTGAGGACTGCATCTGTGATTGCTGGCTCTGAAGAGGAAGGAAGGGGCCACGAGCCAAGGAATGCAGCAGCCCCTAGGGGCTGGCAACGACTCTCAGCTGACAGCCAGCAAAAGAAGGGAACCTTGGCCCTACGAGCACAAGGAACTGATTGATTCTGCAACCGGACTCTCATCCTAGAGCGTTCAGAGAGCAACATGGCCTGTGGACACCTCAGCTTTAATCTGGAGGCCCATTCCAGTCTTCAGATCGATAACATTGTAAGATGAATTTGTGTTATTTTAAGCCACTAGGTGTGTGGTGATTTCTTACAGGAGTAGAAAATGAATATAATTAACATCAAAATCAATAGACCCTTGTATGAGCCAGGGTACGGAACTAGATGAATGAATTACAAGATTTCTTATGATGAGTGCCGGACTTTAGATATGGGTTTGAGGAAGCCCAGTGTTGTCCTTGCTAAGTGTCACTGCACATTCTCAACAGCCACTGGCCACCTAAACCTAATTCTGTGAGATCTGACCAGGATGATGCCCTTCCATGTCCCCAAGTGCTCTGTTTTTCAGACATGGTCAGTCTTAGTCCTAACATGTCATCCCTAAGACAAGAAAAGGCTGTGATCTCAGTGAATCTCACTCATTCTGTGACTCACCTACTGAAAACTTAATTGTCTAAAGAAGGAGCCAGCAGGGGCACCTGGGTGGCTCAAGTGGTTAAGCCTCCGACTTCAGCTCAAGTCATGATCTCAGGGTTTGTGAGATCATTTTAACTTGATCTCATCTTAACTTGATTCCTTCTATAAAGACCCCATCTCCAAATAGGCATATATTCTGAGGTACTAGAGGTTAGGACTCCAACTTATCTTTTATGTTTTCAGGGCAGGATATAATTCAACCTAGGCTTGTACATGAGGACTTCTAACAGAGTTGAAAGTTGCCATTAAAATTTTTTTAAATTTTTATTTATTTATTTTTAGAGAGAGAGATAGAAAGGGAGCAGGGGAGGGGGAGAGAGAGAGAGGAAGACAGAGTCCCAAGCAGGCTGGCACCGCCAACACAGAGCCCACTGCGGGGCTCAAACTCATGGACCGTGAGATCATGACCTGAGCCGAAGTGAAGAGTCAGATGCTTAAGTGACTGAGCCACCCAGCCTCCCATGAAGGTTTCCATTTTTAAATAGTAACTATCTTTATTAACTATAAAGAGTTAGTAAAGTGATTCCAGTTGGAAAAGGCACTCAGCACCGTTTCTCATTCAAAATTTTGGACTCAAAAAACGTATGTGTTTCAACCCTCTTCTTGCACTTTTCTGTGTTGTTGGTGCCTGGATCTGGAAGGCTACAGGGTACCGGGGCCAGACTAGCCTCACCTCTGGTTTCACCCATTTTACTGGGGAGCATGGTAAGTAAAAAACCAGGGTCTATAACATAACTGCTCATATTTTATCTTGTCACTGGCCTCACTCTAACTGTCTACAGCATTTAGCTTTGGAGACAGCAGAAGAGCTGTTATCTATTAGTGTGCATGTGTATTCCATCCTAGGCCCATCAACAGAGAGGGCAGCCAAGACCCTGACCTTCAACTGTTCACCAATAAAACAGCTATTATAGCTCATGAGAAGCTCACAGACACCACAGTATGGAGACTGAGGACAGTGTTCTGCGGTCTTTTCTCTGAGTATGAACCTTTAGAAAAAAAATATTCTACTGGATTATTTTAAAGCTCCTCTGAATGGCGATGTCCATACACCACAGGGAGATTGCTACAATATTTCTGGAAGGATATTAGGCAGCATCTACCCGCATTTTTCAATACCTATGCCTTGTGTTTTAGTCAGTTGCCTTTCTAGGAGCTTATCTTCAGAAATACCTACACATGCACCTAACGATGTGTGTACAAGTATGTTCGCTACGGAAAGGTAACTTACCGAGTTGTGAGTCTATGTGCATTGTTTCCTCAGTTACATAAAGTCCTTGAAGCTCACTTCGCTCACCTGCCCCTGGGGAGTTTTGTGTAACTGGGAAGAGGACGTTTGGAGGGAACCCCTTTAATACTTAATTTTGCTTTATTCTTCCCATTTTTATTTTATTTATTTTTCAAATCTATTTATTTAGGGGCACCTGGGTGGCTCAGTTGGTTAAGCGCCTGGCTCTTGATTTCAGCTCAGGTCATGATCTCACAGTTCATAATAGAGGTCTACGTCAGGCTCTGCGCTGAAGTCACAGAGCCTGCTTGGGATTCCCTCTCTCCCTCTCTCTCTGCCCCTCCCCTGCTCCTGCTCTTTTTCTCTCTGTCAAAATAGATAAAAGAAACATTTTTTAAAAAGCCTTTAAAATTTATTGATTTAAAGGCAAGTTAGTTAAAATACTGTGTATTACTGGTTTCAGGAGTAGAACCCAGTGATTCATCACTTACCTTGAACACCTAGCGCTCATCCCAACAATGCTCCCCTTAATTTTTAAGTCTTATTTGTTTCCAGTAAAAACCTAACAAACGCATTAAAAAGAGTATTCTAGTAGGGCAAGGGTGGGAGGGTACAGAGATCTGGCCTCAGAACAAGAGGGGGGATGTAGAGAGACCACGGTTCTGCCAAGCTTAGGGACGAGCTGGCAGGTAATCAGGTAAGGCCTCCCATCCACCATACATCTCTTTTCCAAAGGGAAAAAGAAGACTTTTAAGAATTTAAAACACTTCGTATTTTGCTTCTAACATTTAATTTTTAGGGTTCTTCCTCCTCATCTGTCAGTATGACTTCGAATGCTGATTCCTATTTTTTTGTGGTTCCCTCCCAAATACGGTAACTGTCATTGGGCTGGTGTGTCTCCCAAAGGCTGACTTTAGTCCTCTCAGGAGGTGTTGGCACCTTGATTCTTCATCCTGCTAGAGACCTGCCTGATATCATCTCCTCTGTCCCCCTCTCTTCGGGCTTATCCTCACAACCTTCCAGAAATCCTTCCTGATGTGTAGGTATGCAGCGGGTAGCAGTCCAATAATCTCATCAAGAACAGAACTGACTCTGTCTAGACCAAGAGGGTTTTAAGTGACATCACGCTGACCGAGCACTATTTTACATTCTCGAGATTCACGAATCGTCTGCTCAGTTTTCCTAACACATTTACTGGTGATGGTTGCCAGGTTACTTAATGCCCCAAATATACATTTTTCTTTTGAAAAGTTGACAAATGGGTCCATCTCTAGTTGTTGTTTGTTTTTCCTTCTTTTCCCTCTCTCAGGCTCCTTATGATTTCCTAGAATGTAAAGGACAGAAGTCTGGGGGCGCTGCCATGGGCTCTTTCTAAGCCTGCTAAGAAGTCGGACCCAGAGATGTGCACACAGAGAGGGCCCTTCTGTCATCCCACGTGCCTTATGTTCCCGCCTTATGAAGTCTGCAGTACTGTTTGTTTGTTCCAATGTCAATTTATCTCTGCAGACATGGCACCTGCAGCAAGAGTGCTGGCCGGGAAGACTTGGGATGGAAGAAGAAAAGCGGAGAAGAAGGCTAGGAATCCCCTGTACAACGAGCATGAGGGGAGCTTACCAAAGTACCCGGCTCAAACCTAAGCAGAGGGATGACGAGCCAGCCTCGGCTGTCACAGAAAGAATGGGCCACTTACTCCTTCAGCTGTTTGGTCAGCTTCACCACCTGAGAGGCCAGGGACATGCAGGTCTCCACCACCACCAGGTACCGGGAGCACAGGGTGTGGCCATGGCGCTCAGCGCTCTGGGAGGGCTTCTCCCCGGCGTGGTTGTGCATGGTGACATTTGCTCCATATTCAACCAATGTCTGTTGGAAAATGCAAAGGCACGAGTCATTCCAGGACCTCCCTGGCAGCATTTGTTAAATGACTATAATAGGAAGGTGAATGGAACTTTTCCTGTGAATCCCAAACCTGTTACCAGAGCCCAGAGCAGCCTGTGGGAGCAGGCAAGGGGGACCGTGACATGCAGGCCCTGGAGAACTTGCAGGAGTCGCTATAGGACACTTCCCTCAGAGACTCAAATGGGCGCCAGAGCCGATGCTACTGCTTCGGATCCCACCCAGCCTCCCAGGCGCTGTACGGGGCAGGCCTGATGCTGCCCCGAGGGGGCTGCCTTCTGAGTAGGCAGAGGCTGTGGGGAGATGCTCTGTCCCTGTCAACATGTGGGCCCATGGAGTTGGAGATGCAAGGGACGCCTGGGTGGCTCAGTCGGTTAAGCTCCCAACTTTGACTCAGGTAACAATCTCATGGTCTGTGAGTTCGAGCCCTGCGTTGGGCTCTGTGCTGACAGCTCAGAGCCTGGAGCCTGCTTTGGATTCTCTATTTCCCTCTCTCTTCCCCTTCCCCACTTGCATTCTCTTTTGATCTCAAAAATAAAGAAATATAAAATATTTTTTTAAAAGCTGGGGATGCGCGTAAGGAAGAGAGAGTGGAATTTTGTTTACCTATTTCTGTTTGCTTGGGAAGCACATGGGATCTGTGGCTGAGCTGACCGTGGCAGGAGAGAACTGAAGAGAAATGACCTGGAGGGGCTGTGACACAGCCCACACTCCCACCATGAGTCAGGCAAGATGTGACCCAAAGGACTGAGTAGATGTCATAGAAGGGGGCTTGGGGTGAGTTGGCTGCCACACCACTTACAGAAGGGGAGCGTTCTCTAGCTGCAGGAGCAGGGAAGTGCAACGTAAGCAGAGGGACGTGTACGGGGGGGCAAGGACGTGATGTTAGGGCCGGATGTCCCCTGTCAGCTATCAGTGGGGAGGCTCCAGGGAGGCCTCACCCACCATGCCCAGCAGAGGGAGAGCATCTGAAGGCAACCACAGAGGACATTAGTGGTCAACCACAGTGAGCCAAAGAAGCAATGACAGCTTCAGGGAGAGAGCCATGACCCCTGAGGCTAAGCAAAGAGTGTTGACTTTTCTCTCACACCTCCTCATGTTTCCAACACTGAGCCCAGACGAGAGAGGAGAAGAGGAACAGGGGTTAGGGACAGGAGACGGGCGTACAAAGCCACTCATGTCTCCATCTCTGTGCCAAGTCCCTTGAACCCTGAGTCTAATCTTGGTTGGAGAGGAGAATACTTTGAATCAGAAGACAGACTTCAAACTGGTTTGGACTAAATGTTTCATCAGCAAGCAGAAAGTTATGGAATCTGGCCAAGGTCATCATGAGTAAAGAAGAGAGACTTGATGGACTATGGTTGACACCCACAGTTAGAAAAAAAAAAATCAGGGCGCCTGAATGGCTCAGTCGGTTAAGCATCCGACTCCTGATTTTGGCTCATGTCATGATCTCAACGGCTGGTGAGATCGAGTACCCGGTCGGGCACTGTGCTGACAATGCGGATCCTGCTTGGGATTCCCTCTCTCCTTCTCTCTCTCTCCATCCCGTCCCCCTCCTCTCTCTCTCTCTCACAAATAAATAAACTTTAAAAAACAAAATCACAATTCTTTTCTTTTTATACTGTGGTGACATTAGACACCACAGAAAGCTGTGACATCAGTATTAGTCCACTGGCACAAACTGACAGAGTCTTTGATGCTATCAAGATGAGAGACAGACACACCTCTGGATTTGTATTAGTCAAAGGTGCTACTGCTTCCAAAAGAAACACCTGCGCTTTTTAAGTTCCTAGACAGCTTCAACTGAGAGATCATGAGGAGCTTGGGCGCCTCCTGGTTTAGGCTCACTCACCTCGGAAAGCCAATCTGTCATGGAGCCACTGCCGTCAGCCATGATGGAAGTGACACGCAGGTCGCCTCGGCCCTGAGTTCCCACAGCCTTCCTGGGACATCTCTATAAACACTTGCTGTTACCACTCCCTGGATCCCCAGCCTCTGGTCTCTGCAGTTTCCCTCCCAGTGTTCTCCAAACTTAATTTCCACCTCACTTCTGAAGGGACCTTGCTCCCCAACCCCCACCCCAGCCTACCCTCAGTCTCTTTATATCTTTTGTTTCCCTTTTAAGTCTCACACCCAGTGGACAGACCCGCTTCCAAGATTATCCAAATTTCCACAGCCACGGTATCTCATGCCAAAAACATCATTAGTATTAAGTGGAGAGATGAATGGCCTAAAAGCACAGACGGCCTCTCTTCACATACGAAAGAAAAATAAGCGAGATCTCAAACAGAATTAATGATATCAGCTGGTTTTCTTTGGCTTTCGGTCACTTATTAGCTGATGAAAAAGTTCAAGACGATTACATGTTCGAGGGTTTTGTTAAATGGAAAAATGGAAGTTTTCGGTTTTTATTCAATTATTTTTTCCTCCACAAAAACCTGCTGCCATAGTCCTTTCACCTTCCAGAGATCCTGGTAGTAACTTAAATTTCTTTTTTTTCCCCTCGGTTCTCATTTCTCATCACTGCTTTTGCAATGCAGTGGCTGAAATGAGAAGACGCACACTTTGCCAACAACGAGTAGGGAAACTTCCAGACACTCGGAATATTTCCTATCAGCATCACTCTCCAAAGAGCGGATGTGCTGGACAGCACTGTGCTGTTACCTCTGCCTTTGGCTTTTATGACTCTCTTGCCTTTCACACTGACAGCTCTTCCAGATTTTCTCCTGTCATTTCCAGAGTCCCCTTTACCTTCATAAGCAACTGGTTCTCACTGCCTGGAATTTCTCTTTCTCTTTCTCTTCTTTAAAGTTTATTTGTTTTGAGAAAGAGAGAGAGAAGGACAGAGGATCTGAAGCAGGTTCCATGCTGACAGCAGAGAGCCCGATGCAGGGCTTTGAACCCACGAACCGAACCATGAGATCATGACCCGAGCCCAAGTCGGACCCTTAACCAAGGCCTGAACTACCCAGGCCTTGCATCAGATTTTCTCACTTGGCTACAACCTACCTTGCACACAGTAGGACATCAGTAAGTTCCTGTTAAATAAGCACATTGAGTTGCAATAAAAGAAACAACATGTGAGAAGGTAAAAAACGACTGTTTCCTCAGAGCTGTTCTATGCACCCAGCTTGTTTTGAATGTTGTGAACTCAGTGAGGTAAAAGCACTGTCTTTAATCAGAGCCTTCAGCCATATGCTGTTAGTCAGGAGGGGGCTCTCTCACATTTCAAGCAGATGTGGGAACACAGCCATAGATGCTGGGTCATTCTTCCATGATACGAACGGTGTGACTGGTCTGATTCTGGTAATTATACCTTCCTACATCAAGTACTGGGCCAAATCTAAACTTTGTTTCCAGTGCAAAGCCTCTCCTCCCCTCACAAGGTCACACCTCTTGCTCCTCCTCTTTCTCGTTGGTTATGGTCTCTCTTTGCTTTATCACTCAGGGCCTTTGCTTTTTTTTTTTTTTTTTTTTTTTTTTTTTAAGAAAAGGGTTTATCTGCTTTTTACATTCACACATGCTTCAAACTTCTGAAGACCCTCACTGGCTTTCAGTCATGTGTTATTACAATGGCAGCACTGGGTTGGGCTCAGCTTTGAGCAGCAGAGCGTTCAGCTGATGGGCGAGACTCCGACTTCACTTCTTGTGGAAACTCTGCGCGCTCTAAGGCAGCCCTTCTGGATCCTGTCTCAGGTGGCTGGGGGCAGGGAGAAGAGCCTCCTCACCCCTCTAGTGGCTCTGCTCCCCAGCCGTTTTGACCCTTGCACACACAGACCATGGTAATACTTGTGAGGCACGTAGGGCCACATGACAAGGCCGCCTGAGGCTGTAGGGTACAGCGGCTGGCCAGCCTAGACCCTGCCTCACCTGCTTGAGGGGTCGGGGGAGCAACAGCCCTACCTGAGGTCTCCCTGTAATCAATTCAGGGCCTTCTGAAAACATTCGGGAAGCTCAGTCCTGCCCTAGAGAAAGGAGGCAAACCACAGCCCTCTGTCTCTAGTCCCTTTTGACAGCCTTCAACACTCAAGGAGAAACTTCTAGGGCTCTTTATGCCAACATTTGTGTGGACTTCTGGAAATACAACTATATCGACTTAATTCCTTATTATCTACTATAATGGAAAAAGCCGACTTCATCCATATCTCTTCCAGTAAACGAAATGTCCCTTTTTTTTTTTTTTTTTTTTTTTGGTTCATTACTTGATAAACGCACTTCTCTCTTCAAAGCAGCAGGGCCCGCGTACCTGTATGCACCCAAGGTAGCCATGCTGTGAGGCTACATGAACGGCACTGTTGCCATCTTGGTCCACTTCATCCAATGAGATGCCCTGTTCTTGCATAAACTGAAGAAGCCAGAGAAGAATTTTCTCCTGTAAACACACAGACAGTTGCAATTAATGGACCATCATGTCGTAAAAGTCTAAAATAAAGACAGAGGAAAACACAACTTCTAACTTGGGAAGCTTAAATAACCAGGTTGACCCCCCTCCGCAGAAAATACCCATTCATTCTGAACTGAAAAATCCATGCCTCTCTCTGACTCAAGTCAATGAAAGAGGAACACTCAGAGAATCTTAAGAGGGGGAAGTCAGAAATGTCCTTGTTTAAAACTGACTTCCTCTATGGATGTAAAATTGATGTGTAGAAAGTTTGAGTCCCTCAAAGTCACACACCTAAACAGATTCAAATTGAAGGCCAGAATCTAAGTCTTTTGATGCCAAGGAAATGTTTGTGCTCGTTTGTTATCCTGTCTTTAGGGTTCAAGAATATTATAAAATCTCAGACACTGAGATAACCAGCTTTTCCTTTGAAGTCGATAATGCTTCAACCATGCCTTGATAATCCCAGACCTCCCGCAATCAACAGGCTGTCAGAGAGAGCAACGGCTGAAGTTGCTTAAGTAGAAGAACCTCACCAAAATAAAACCAGAACCTTCTGGAATTTTCTGACCAAATGTTGTTGGGGTTGTAAAGGTAAAAGTTGCCCTCTTTCTGTTTTAAAGGGAGGTTGCCTGATGTCTGAACACAACCTTTCAAGAGCAAAGACAAAGAGTGCTCAGTGTGTTGCCAAAATCCGTTTGCATTTTACCCACTGGGTCTTTTGTGGTATTTTCATGTTATGTTTGGCCTCAGGAGAAAGCAGGGGGATGGGATTTCACTGTTTTAAAATAGAAGAATTAAATATAATGTTAAAAAAAATAGGAAAGCGGGAAAAACAACAGCGTGAAGTTTAGTGAGTGGAATTTGACATTTCAAAAGACAATCACGTGTTTGAAATAGCCTTGAACCTCTCCTTAGCCTTTTAAAGGATTTTTTTTTCCCAGTTGCTTGCTCGGACTGGTCATGAACTTTTATACTTTTCTGGATTAAATTTGCCTTCACCTTCTGAACATGCCAAGTAATCTGCTAAAGGAATGTCGGATAAAAACAGCCAAGTCCTTTAATGCTTCACCCTTCATGGGGGGAGCAGGGCACTGTTTATGAAGGCATTGGTGACACCAGTGACAGAGCGAATATTCCCACCATGCTCTTTCCACGTGAGCAAGCAGGGAGTAAGACCCCTAAAGAGCAAAAAGAGAAAAATGTAATGAACGCCTCTAGCCTACCAAGGAGGCACCCAGGGGAAGCACGGTGTCAGCAGCAGAAGCAGACAAACCTTGTAGAACATGGAACTCTGAACACCCCTGGAGAATGAGGTGGAGAAGGGCCTGGAAGCCAGGGCTGGGAGCTAGAATCTGGTTAAGGGTATGGCAATGTACTTGCCCTCTTCTCTGGAGGCAAACTTGGAACAAGGTGGGGCTGACTGTTGGACCAGAGCATGTGATGTTCGATACACACAAGGTAGAATCACTGTATTTTTCCTAATTAGGAAGGGATATTACTTTTATTTGGAGCCAGATTCTGCCATGTGATCTCAAAGACCTGGGTGAGCAGACAGATCTCAGGATAAAAAACAAAGCCGACTGGTTTGAAGTCAATGGCTAAGACAGGGAAACATCAAGAGGGTAGGCTATCAGGGTGCTTGGGTGGCTCAGTCGGTTAAGCATCCGACTTCGGCTCAGGTCATGATCTCACAGTTTGTGGGTTCGAGCCCCGCATCAGGCTCTGTGCTGATAGCCAGCTCAGAGCCCGGAGCCTGTTTCAGATTCTGTGTCTCCCTCTCTCTCTGACCCTCCCCTGCTCATGCTGTCTCTATCTCTCAGAAATAAATAAAAAGCATTAAAAAAAAAAAAAAAAGAGGGCAGGCTGTCATGATTTGACTGGTGAAAAAGATGGCTCTGTCATTTCAGTGGGTCATTCTTAGGTGTGTGGTCACTTGGCTTGCTCTGTGATATTAAACCAGGGCACCTTAACATGGCAGAGTGAGAGAGATTTTAGGAATCATCCTAAAATTCAAACACCCTTGTTTTATAAATCAGACAGCCAAAGAAGACAAGTATATATTCTCTGATATTCTAGCAGCACCCTTCTTTAGCAAGTAAAGTTTAGAGGAACACAAGACAGTCAGCAATAGCCTGCACGTCCCTTCTTGTCAGGCATATTTTCATATTTTTCACTCAGTTAATAGCACAGTGGATAAGTCTACTCCACATGTACAGAACATGCCCTTGACTATAATCCACAGTGTTCTGACTTTTAATAAAAGGGTTGTAAGAAACGGAACACTGCATTACATATGACTAGAAATTTTCCCCTGTAGAAATATGGAGAAGAATTTCTGATGGCATGGATAACTCTTCCTTATAATTAAATTCTAATTGAAGATACAAGGCTTGTAGAAAGGAAGAGCCATTATTCTACTGTTCAGAAGAAGGAAGGTCTTTGCCCAGAGTCTCAAGTTCAGTTTTGTGTTCGGTACTGGGTAATTTACTTTAATAAGAAGCTAAGTAATTAGCCTGTTCTTTGATAATCATCATGGAAACAAAGGTCTGGAATGCTGGGGTTTTGGTAAAAGCACGTTCAGCAACCACTATCAGAGAAAATGCCGTTTTCTGCTCTGATTCTGGAGAACATGCCAGCAGAAACTGATAGGCCTATAACATAGTGACTTATTTGACAAATATCTAGTAAGGAGAACAAATACAACTATTTCTTCCAACTAAGAAGGGCCTTACGAGATGCATGTGTATCAAAGATATATAGGTAGTGATGTCTACCTCCCTTCTTAGACAGTTAGCGCTCTCATTCTGTGCACACGTGCATGTGTGTGTATGTGTCTGTCAGGGAGATGCTTAAAGAAGATGCAATTTCTGATTTTCATTTTCCCATAATTCACTGCTTTCAGAGAACATCCAGTGCAGTCATATGGATCGAGGGGCTCTTCTGTATTATTTCCATCTTACAGAAGGCCTCTCCAACCTCACATTCTACCCATCCGCCCACACACGCAACTAGACATTCAATTTTTAGCCATTGTGAAAACTTCCTTCATGTTCTGGTTTTCTTTTCTGGGGATCTTTCTACTCTTTTGATAGCCTGTTTTACTGGGGCATTTTGCATGTTGTTAAAGGCAGTGCAATTCATTTAATGAGGCAATCATTACATGTAATTTACGACATTTGCTGCACAAAGTCTCATAAAAAAATGTAAGTGAAAAATGCACCACAGGTTTCTTAGTGCCATCAATCAGTAAAGTATCTACAGTTTTTGTTCCGACCGTACGTTCTGAAGGTGGCAATTTCTTCTGCAATCCTAGACATCAAATCTACTATACTATCAAAGGTATATACTTCAGTCTGGTTTTTGAGATGTTAACATGTAAAAAAAGGGTCAGCCATACTTTCATGGTTCATGTATTGTGAGACAAATGCAGAATCCAGAGACGTAAAATGTGACCAAAAAGTGTATCCGGGAATTTGTTAAATAGGTCGAGGCTTAAATCATTCTTTGGCAAGTTTCCCGTATGTTTTACTTACGGTGAAATAAGTCAACTGGACAATATTGAGATCAATAAAACAGGAAACTGGAAGAAGCCCAAGTATCCTAAGAAGCAACATTTATCTAATGTCTACTATGTGTCAGCAATGGGTGGTGGTCATGTGGCTTTTTGCCACCTGGCAAAGAAAGTTCTTTTTCCACGTTAAAGATGAGCAAACTGAGGTACAGAGAGATCTTTTCTTTTTTAAAAAAATAAATGTCTCCAAGGACCCCGAGCTAGTAAATGGCAGAGTTGGGATTTAAGTTCAGATGCGGTGCCAGTGTTCTCCGGGTCTCTGCTTTCAGTCTGCTGAGTATGAGTGTCTGCAACCACTCACTGACCCACGGCCCCTGATTCTGTAATGGACACGCTCATTTTGCACCCCTTGGGTCACAGAAAGCATGGTTAACAGCCCATCACCCCGTGGGTTCATGGCACTCCATATCACATACGCTGTTTCAAAGATCATTCTTTGGAGAGCAGATGGGTGATCCCGCGAAGCTGAGGGGTTTCTCTTCCGCTTTCGTCTGCAATCACAGCGCTTTGAGTGTTGTTTACTTATTTCTACGCCGTGACAGTGAAACAATCAAGTCCACAGTCTATTTCGCCTTTTGAAAGTCAATGGTGGCAAAACAATCTCACGTAGCCCCTTATCTACCTGCCTAATGCTGTTCATGACCGTTTGTAGGAACTGCTGAGTCTTTCCTTTTTTTTCAAAAAGTGTTCCTGATTTTCCTATCCTTTTGTTTCTGTTTTGTTTTGTTTTGATCTGTACCAGGGTCAACATTTAAGACGCTGAATGCGGGGCACCTGGGTGGCTCAGTCTGTTACATGTCCTGCTGTTGGTTTTGTTCAGGTCATGATCTCACGGTTTGTGTGTTCAAACCCTGCGTCAGGCACCAAGCCGACAGTGTGAAGCCTGCTTGGAATTCTCTCTCTCCGTCTCTCTGCCCCTGGCCTGCTCGCTCTCTCAAAATAAATAAATAAACACAAAACATAAAACAAAATGCAGGATGCACCCCTTGTAAACAGAGGTGATCTTGGTACACGCTGGGTGCTATGAGGGAGGTTGTTTTCATAGCAGAATATTCTTACCAAAAGTTACAGAGGAGGCTCAGAAACACAGGGGTCCCAAGGAACAAAGATCCCACCGAACCAGTGACAGGAGCAGAATGGGCTGAAGCCTCCAACCCTCTGAGGGCACAAGAGCTTTGAGGGAGTGTGGACCAGACCGTCAGAACCTTCGTGGCGAAATAAAAGAGCCCCCGTGACACAGCTGGTGGCTCTGACTTGAGATGATTCTGTCTCTACTGTTTGGCCAGCAATGTCTTTCTCCAGGGACAGCAAAGCAGGCCGGCTGGAGGACATCCCTGCTTTTTCCAGGAGTTTCCCTGCAGTTTGCACCTCCGTGCTCCCTGTGGCTAGCGCTGCTCCATGCGACCAGGCAATGGAATAATTGCACCCTCTGAGACTTCATGTGTCAAGATGAGGAAAATCAATTCCTATCGTCCTAAGATCTATCACTCCAGGAGACCGCTAAAAACTGCCGCTGCCCTGCGGTCCTGGAGTCTTTAAGGTAATTTTTGCGAGAAAAAGGACACAAGTTGGGAATCAAATAGAGCCCGTTCTTTGAGAATCTATATGAGGGGCAGAGGGCAACCAAAATAAACCAAGGGAGGAATTTTCCTCTGTACTATCCTTTCCAGAGGTATTTACTGAAGAAACAAAACCAGAGCACACTCAAGTGCCTGCCTGATGCAGAAAAACCTGCATGTGCTGAATCCATTAGAAAAAATGTTGAATAACAGTCTTCCTTGTGAAAATATTAGCCTTGTAACGGTTCCAAGTTCAGCATCTCCACAGGTTACCTGTTACATAAGTGCCTGCGGCGGGCGCGGGATTGCTGGGCGGAAGAGGATTCGCGGTTCTAAGGGGCTTCGGTGCTTCCCACTTGGGGAGGAGTGCTCCCCGAAGGGCGCTGCGGGGCTGCCCTGCTCAGAGCTGTACTCTGGGGCATTAAAAATGCCTCTCAGTTCGCAACAGCAACCTGAAGGCTGATGCTAGCACAAGGCAAACGTTTGACATGGCTCTTCCGCTACGTCCCCGATTTCCGTTATTTTCCTCTAGCCACGCCATCAGCCAACCAGCCCCACAAAGGGCATATGCTCTTTTTCGGTCCCGACAGCTTCACAATGATGAGAAACCCGCCGTGAGAGGCGAGCAGAGACGCTGGCACGCCTAGGCAGCATTTCCCGACACAAAGAATGCCGGGGGCCCAATTATTTACTTAGAGTTTCAGAGCAGCAATGCAATCCCTTCCTCCTTCTCTTTGGCAAGCTCTACCGGAAGCGCAGGTAGCCTTTTCCACTGGTATGGAAAATTCCTTGCGAGGCTGTAGATAAGCCGATGGAATCAGGGACAGTTTGAGAATAAAGAACATTCAGTTTGGTACTGAAAGTGATATACGAAGATTATCAGTGATTACATTCTTTTGGTCATTCGAAAATTCTATTGTTTCCTTTGCCAGGAGAAGTGAAACAAGGGCGTCCTTAGCAAATGCTTGGTAACTATCGTGGCTGTTTGTGGAATGCTGTGACTGAGGCTCGGACGGGCAGGACACTGAGAAAATGGAGTAATTCTTTCAAAGACCGTGGCTTTGACAAATGTTCAGTGTTCTTTCTGCTCTTTTCTTCATCTGCTAAGTTTAGTACCAGGTACTCACTTCTTCGATGAGCTGTGTATTACAGTGTGTTGTTAGAATTGTAAGAAAGTCTTCCTCAGTTAGATCAATGCTGTTATAAATGGGCTATAGGAATTATCTACACAGGCAGACACAAAACAGAATCTGGTCCTAAAATCAGAGGGCCTGAGCTGAGATGCAATCTTTGCTTACTGGGCACTGGAACAAGACAGGGCAAGTCACTTAACTTTCTTCCTTGACTCTCGTCTATAGAATGAGTACAAACAATAGGATCCAACAGGGTTATTTTAAGGAATAAGTGAGATAATATACACAAACTCCAATGGCTTGGTGCCTGGCACATATAGTGAACATTACATATTAACGTATATATATGTGTTATATATACACACACACACATATATAGACACACACGTTGTATATGTTATATATGCATTGTATGTTATATTTATATATATGCTATATTTATATATGTTATATATATACACATACATATATACAAACAAACACCCACTCGTACCTACATACATATGTATAATTTATATTAATTGAAGTTACCATGGTACAATGTGAACTATCACCTAACATGGACTCCCACTAAAGAGAAAAGCCGTAGTCATATTCTCCAAGGGTATTTCTTGAACTTGAGATTGTCATGCTCGGAAAAGCATAATCTCTTGTTAACAATACCACAATTTACTGCCACTGAGAATGTTTATGAAGCCAAAAGGGATATGGTTATATGTACGAGAAGCAATTTTCTTCGCCACAAACAAATATGATTAAATCTATTTTAATACAGTGCTGACTTTATTTATTTTTTTAAGACTGAGATTGGCATTTTGTGGTTCCAATTTTTTTAAAAATATAATTTATAACGTATCCGTCTCAAAGGGAGTTACTGATAGTTTTTGTACTCCATACCCCGGAGTGTGATCTGTGTACATAGATTCCTCATACTGGGATTTCCTAGTATAGAAACTGGCTGTAACTGAGACTGATCGAGTTAGTGTGTTGGCTCATCTCTAATAGAGATTTACTTGATTAGTATCTTACTGAAGATTTTTCCCCTTTAACTGTTGGATACGAGAAAATGTAGCATCTTCCCTTTTGATGAAAGTTAAATGCATTTATTGCAGACAATTTGGAAAATACTAAAAAACAAAAAAGGAAGATAAAAGCCACTTGTAATTCCACCTTGAGTGATAACAGCTATGAACGTGTGGCAGAGCTTGTTTTCTAACCTTATTATTTACGTCTCTTCCTCCTTTTCTAGATTTCAAAGTTGGTACCAAATTACAGGAATGGTTTTATAGCATACATTTCAATAGTATATAATGAACATTTTTTCCCATAAAATTCCATCCTATGTATGTAACTTCATTATTTATCCAATATCTTATTGTGAGATATTTAGGTTGTTTAAAACATGTTTTTCACTTAAAAAGATGACAATGAAATGATTGCTTATAAATCTGATTATTAGAAATTCTTCATACCTGACCAAAGCCACCTGCGTAATGAATAAGGCTTGGAAAATCCTTAGAACAACTCAGTTCGGCAATGGCCTCAGTTTCACTCACCATCCAACGTACACACTCCAACTGACCATTCTAGATTGACAAAAAGAAGAAAGAAATTCAAAGTAATTCAGGTTTGAAAAATAAGTCATAGGGGCATCTGGGTGGCTCGGTCGGTTGGATGTCCGACTCCTGATTTCGGCTCAGGTCGTGATGTCACAGTTCATGGGATCGAGCCCTGTGTCAGGCTCTGTGTTCACAGCTCAGAGACTGCTTGGGATTCTCTCTTCCTCTCTCTCTCTCTCCGACCCCTTCTTGTTTGTGTGTGCATGCAGTCTCTCTCTCTCTCTCTAAGGCAAATTAAAAAAACAACAAACAAATAAAATAAACTTAAAAAAAAAGAAAGAAAACCTCACAGGAGCACCTGCATAATTCAGTTGGTTAAGTGTCCAACTCTTGATTTTGGCTCAGGTCATGATCTCATGCATGAGGTTCGAGCCCCACGTCAAGTTCTGTGTTGACAACACAGAGCCTGCTTGAGAGTCTCTCTTTTTCAACCTCTTTCTCTGCCTCTTCCCTGCTCATGTTCACTCTCTCTCAAAAAACCAAACAAACAAAAAAAAACCCCACAAAAAAACAAACAAAAAGGAACAACAACAACAAAAAACCCTAAAAATTCATAGATGGTAACTTTGCCAAGGGAAAAAAAATCTCGTGACTTTTGGTTCTTGTATTTGCCTTAATTTATTTGTAATATAAGGAGATCACCTATTACATTTCTGATCTGTGGCTTTGACTCAAAAGCAGTCAGAGAATTTTTACTTAAGTGCATTTTCATAAATTTAATCAGTTAGTTTAAAATCACTTTATTGAGGTATAATTTTGCATGCTATAAAACATACTCTACCCTTTTTCAAGCATGTGGTTTGATGAATTTTGACAAATATATACTCTCTTGTAACTACTGCTCCAATCAAGATACAGAACAATTCCATCGCTCCCCTCCCCACAATCTCTAGGACACCCCTGGTCTTAGGTCCTCACCTTTGCTCCAGGCAACCACTGATAGAATTTTTATTTTATTCTTCTGTGTCTCGCTTCTATCACTCAGCATTCATGCCTCTGAGATTCATCCATGCTGCTGCTTGCATGAAAAGTTTGTTCCTTTTTATTGCTAACAAGTATTCCATTATATGAATATACCGATATCTGTTTACTCATGGACTGTTAGAATAGGCTTTTACCCTTGAGACTTTGAAATGGCAGGATTCCAAAAGAAAGAAAGAGAAAATAATCCTATTATACTGGCTCAAATGCTACCTTCATCCAAGGCTTGGGTGGCTCCGTCCCCACCCTGGCTCTTTCCTCTGGTGCTGAGATCCCATGCTGTACAAACCAGGAAGGCAGCTGTGACACGTATAAGTCATGAGGACCCAGACTTGGGAATGGGTTTAAATCCTTAATCCACTACTTAATTATAAGACCTTGAATAAATTGCTTCTCCACTCTGACACTCCATTTTCTCATCTGTGAAATGGCAGGGATAGCAGTAATGAGCTCACACAGTTACTGCGAGCAGCAGATGAGACAAAGCATGTGAGAGTACTCGGGACACAACACTTATTACCTTTTACTAGTAGCGCGCTCTTTTAGATCCTCTATAACACAAATGAGATGTTCAGCTAACTTCCTGGTTTGCCCAGTGTGGGGCCTTAGCCCAGGAGAAAAGACCTGGAAGCCTATTCTAGACATAAGATGCAGGAGGTAATGTGCTCATTATTCATCTACACCAATTTGGATATTGGGATTTCAAGCAGTCAAGTCCCAGCTATTTGCAGGCAGAGACGATCCTTCTGCTGGGGGAATCTAGCAGGTTCAGGTGTGTGCCAAGTACCTTCCACGTGCCCCCTGTGATCTGTCTCCTCCCTCCATTGCCCTCCGACAGCAAGGTCGGAGGTTACTTTAGGTCTTTTCCCTTTTCTTTTTTTAATGCTGGCATTTACACTTATATATTTTGTTCTCAGCATTGCTTTAGCTGCATAGTATATTGCTTAATAGATTGCATTTTCAAATATTTTCCAGCATCTCTTGTACTTTCTTCTTTGATAAGTCATTATTCTGGAGTGATTTTTCTGGATATGTGATTATTAATTATTCTATTAATTCCAGACACTTGTGAATATCCCACATTTCCTTCTGTTACTGACTTCCAACTGCATTTCACTATGGTTAAAAGGGCATACTTTGCATGACTCCAAGCCTTTCTAATTTACTGAGACCTGTTCTACAGCCACACATATGATCTATTCTGGAGAATGTCCCACATGTACTTGGGGAGAATGCACACTCTTCTGTTGCTGGGTAGAATGTTCTGTTAGCTGTCTGTTAGGTCTAGTTACTCCAGAAGGTGCCGTTGAAATAAATGTATTAAGTGATAAAATGCTGATACAAAGGTGGAAGGAAATAGATTGCAGTTTTGAATGCATGACTTGCCATAAATAGCAATACCAAGAAAACAAACAAACAAAAATGTTATCACATTCTGACAGGAGACTGTTGCCTGTGGAAGTCTCTGAGACTGGGGTCACTCCCTGGACGTTAAAAAGGAGTGTCAGGGGCGTCTGGGTGGCTCAGTCGGTTAAGCGTCCAACTTCAGCTCAGGTCATGATCTCACGGTTCATGGGTTTGAGCCCTGCATCGGGCTCTGTGCTGACAGCTAGTTCAGAGCCTGGAGGCTGCTTCAGATTCTGTATCTCCCTCTCTGACCCTCCCCTGCTCACGCTGTCTCTCTCTCTCAGAAATAAATAAAAAACATTTAAAAAATTTAAAAAAAGAGTGTCAGTAGATTATGTCTTTGGAGTCATTTTCTCACCAGACCAACATGGTGTCTTTGAGCTTGATCAGAAAGGATGGAATGAGAAATGAAAAAGAAATTAAGGTTATTTCATTCCATGTCTGTTTAGCACCTAAAATAATGTATCGTGTTGGCCCCATGTGAGAAACACAGTGCCCTCACCTTACAGAAATCTTTCTTTCCTGTCATTTTGTCGAACTGTTCCTCAAGGGCACTCAGTAATGTGCTAAAGTGCCACAGTATTTAGTGTTGGGTTCCCCCAGAAAACTCTCAATAAATTCTGGTAAGAATTTATTACGTTCCATGTAAGGAGTTTAAGTGGAGGGGAGAGGCATTCATAAGCCTTCAAAGCCCCTTTCTTCAGGTAATCTTTTAATTTGATACCCTTTCTCTGACTCTGTTTCCTGTCCGTCCAGGCATATTATCTCGGCTACTTTTGCCATTTGTACTGAGTTTGTTGTCTTTCATAACAGCAGGGCTCTCAGAACTATGTTTAATGAGCTGAAACACCAGCGGCTGGTCACTGGTGTTCAAAACAAGGTCCTAAAACAGAAGAGTGATGACTTCTTATAACTCCCTTGACTTCACCAACTCCTATCAAATTACACTGAATGGACTGAGGCAGGATTTGTGTCAGGACCAATTTCCAAAGGGGGTGGCACTTACAAAAGATTTGTATATACTGCGTTTGTAAATTCTACATTAAATGAAGAAACAGAAGATTTCCCTTTCTCATATCATTTGCCTGTAAGTAAAAATATGAAAAGTCTGAGACCCCTTTTCCAGAAGGGCTTTTGAGTCTTATGGGTTTGATATGTGTTCTTCATTAAAACAAAGAAACAAAATGCACTGCCATTTTATTCTTAATCTTATTCTTTTATTCTTATCCTTATCCTTACCCCCATCCCTCTCCCTATCCCTACCCCTATCCTTACTCTTACTCTTATTCTTCTTATTCAGTAATCTCTACCCCCAACATGGGGCTTGAACTCAACTCCAAGATCAAGAGTTGCACACTCTTCCAATTGAGCCAGCCAGACGTCCCCAAATGCACTGCAGTTTAAACTTCCATGCCGATTATGTGATAGCATTTGTTGACTAGAGGAGTTTACGAAGAATGAATTAACAACATGGATACCGTAGAAGGAGTTTATACCCGGGTGGCTTAATGACCACCAAGTTTCTTATGTACTGTCCTACTCTGAAGACTCTTAATCTATGAAAACAAGCATGAGGAGATATAAACAAAGAAAAAAACCCCTTTCTCTGCCAACTAGGCACTAAGATATCCTCCATAAACTAACATTAGCTAGAAAAACTAATGAGAACTGTATTTTCTAAACACTAAAACAGCAAGGCAAATGTCAACATTTATTGGCATTGCATGAATATTCTATTCATCACTGACCCATGTCCATTGATGACCAGACCCAACTCCTGCCTTCTCATAGGAGTCGGATTTAGGACTAGATCCTGAATTTGCCACCCTGCACTTGAATTACTGGTAATTTACCTGCCTTATCTACCAGGCTATCAGCTCTTTAAGATAAGGGACTATGTCTCATTCAAAGTTGTACTGCCATCATCTCACATAGTACCACCTAGTTCGACAGTTCGACACATTGTCGAACTCAACTACTGTGCACCTTGACTTCCCATCTAATTTCTCTTTCTTCATGAGGGCTGCCTATAGTACCGCTCTTAATGTGACAGAGCAACATTCACTAGAGGAAAGCAGTATCTACCAGGGTCGTAGATTACTTATTTTATAAAAAAATATTATTTTCTATACTATCTTTGCAATGGTACATTATCACTGAGTAAAATTAAATAAAACAGAAAGCAACTTTTAATACGTAAAACTTTACTGCATGGTAAACAAATTAAAGATGCAAAAGTTCAGATTGCTTAAAAAATATATGAGGGGTAGGCCAGCAACCACTTGTTTTTAAAATGTAACATGTTCTTCAGTGAATTCACAAATAGGTTTCTTTAACTAGCAAGTTCCCCTAGTAAATTTCAAAAATAATTCCATTTCTAAAAATTATGATCATTCAGTTTTTAGAAGACATAACTAGCAAAACACATACGTAGAAGCACAAGCTGTATTATATTTCCCTGAACTTCACTTCTGGCTTCTTCATAAATATGACTGAATTCTACATTTATCTGCCAAAGATCTTACAAGTAATTTTAGTTTAATAGCTAACCTTCTAGTGATGTGTTATATTTTACAGAGGCACTTACGTGCAGTGCTATAAAAGACCATGTTTCCCTGACTCACAATGTCTAGGTTTTAACTCTTTCTCACTTGGCATTAATCTGTGTGGTTTTTGACTGAGAGCATACAGCGCTTAGCCAAGAGCTAGACTCAAACTCCGCACTGACCCTCTGAACAACTCTGGGTCCTGAAGACATTTCAACTTCAGATGTGATCCATTAGAAGCCTGCTTTAGTATCTGAAATACTCCTAAGAGCTATCATTCCTTAAAATACACCTTTTCCTCATTTGTCTCGCTCATTATATTCACATTAGGAAAAAAATGAAACTGTCTCAGATAAACCCAGGTGTGGTTCAGACTCTGAGTTGCCGTCACCAGCAATAACAAAAGTTCTGAGGACTGCCCTAGAACATTTTACGTCCTCTTTATTAGCTGACTCGAAGCTTACCCTCATTGCACCATAAGTTGGAATGTAGTCTCCAAATCTCAAAGTAGTTAGTAACTGAAATGATTACTATCTTAAATGTCGTATGCTCATTTGTCATTTGCTTGGTATACTGCGCTCCTCTTTCCCTATACTCATCTTTCCAAGTTGGCTCACTAGGAATCTTACAACAGCAGTCATGGGATTGGGGTCACCTGGGTGGTTCAGTCAGTTAAGCATCCAACTCTTGATTTTGGCTCGGGTCATGGATCATGCTCTCACAGTGTGTGGGTTTGAGCCCCATGTCGGGCTTTGCGCTGACAGTGTGCAGCCTGCTTGGGATTCTGTCTCCTTCTCTCTCTGCCCCTTCCCCGCTTTGTATCTTTCTCAAAAATAAATGAAAATAAGACCTAAAAAACAACAACAACAAAAAACCCCAACAACCCAACTGTTAGCTGTGGAGGGTGCAGCCCCCAACTGATCACCTTGATGGCCAAGCCCGCTGGAGTCAATCTCTCCACATTCCGCTCACTGAGGCAGTCCTCTCCCATCAAAGACGTGAGATGCTGCAGACATTCCGCGTGTCCCTGCGATGCGGCCACATGTAAGAGATTGTTGCCGCTTTCATCATGAATTTTGTCTAGGTTGTCAGCAGCGAGGTGTGGCTGTACAAACAGTTAAGAGTAGAATGCTTAAGTCCATAATCAGAATGAGGTACTCTGGAGGTTCTGCTGTGGACACTGGGAAGAAGACATGAGCTTCCAGAAACTTTGGTGGCAATCCTGGGGGTGTCATAGGTCAGAATTCCTTACCATCAGTTCTGATGACTGTCCATTACAGAGTTTGCTATACTTTCCTTGAGAACATGAGTTCTCAAGAGACTTATCTTCATGGGAGACATGGTGACTGGGATAGGTCAGCAAGATCTCCGAGGCTCCAAGCTGGCTTTCTAAACAACTGCACTGACATTTATGGTAATTGGCAAATTCCCTTTCTGTCTACTCCACTCGGCTGCTAAGTGCTGACAGCCAGACGTGTTTTATTCTCTGTTGTAGGTTTGCTGAATAAAGGAACCACTTCTCTCAACCATCTGGTCTGCCTTAAACTATGGAGAATTGGCTTTGATAGCAAATTCCATGATGGCTGCCATGACTAAGTGCCACCACGGGGTTCTTCTAGACACTTCTAGACACTTTCGCCCCAGAGAGACTCTGGGGGCATCTGGAGGCTACCTGGACTTTGGTTTTCTCACCTGTAGTAAAACTTAGTTCCCTGTATTAGTTCCATGGTTGATAGAGGCTGTTGGGTGAATCGAGAGGTGTTATCACTTGGGAAATGTGAAAACATGGGATGGACAAAAGGCAGAAATGAACCAGAGAGGAATAGAGAGGAAGAGCCAGGAGAAATGGGAAAGCTATTTTCAGCAGAAAAAAAGTTTGTATTTCTTTATTTAGTAAAACTGTTCAATCCTATCATCCTATAACAGTAAGATTTGGGATAATGGACCAAGCACATTGTACTTATCCCTGTAGAGCTTTACCCTGAGTGGAATGGCACTGCCAAGATGTGATGATTTTCTTGAGTGAGACTTTAATTAACATCATGGTATCAGCCCAGGCTTGCTACTGTTCGATCCAAGTCTGGAAGCCAGAAAAGAACAATGCAGGCAGATGGAGTGTGATTTCGGCTGAGCTCTCTCAGAGCCGAGGCAGAACAGACTTTCCTCACGTCACGTTAACTCCGTGACCAGACCTTTTGGAAAAGCTTCTTCACGCTCTCTAGACATGCCACGCTGGGACTGAATAAAAGCCCCAAATAGGTCAGAGGGCAACCAAGCTCTAGGGTAAGCCTCTATCTGCAAATGCTCTTAGACATCCTGGTCCAACTCTTCTGAATAATGATCAGGGTAAAACAGAAGACCCTCTGTTCATGGATCTGGCAGGTCCACCAGCAGCAAGGAACACACGCCCCCACAAGTACATGAGGGGGAACATTGGGCACCATTTGGAAAGGGGAAAGAAAGACATTAAGAGTCACGTTAAAGCAAGCACTGGACTTGTTGTGTTTTTATTTTAGATTATGTGTCCTATTCTAGTCAAAGTCCTGCCAAGTTAAAGAGGAATAATGCTCACTCTGTAGCTGTTTATGTTCCCCCTGTACTAACCCAAAGGTGGATTTTAAACTTCAAAAGGCATCTCATCAAACTAAAGCTACTAGTAAAGATTAAGCTAGAATGGGAACAAATGGTCATCATTCTATTACTCATGAGTGAAGCTGATAAAACTGGAGTCTCTAGGTTACTGAATTAGATCATACTCACCAGGAGAGATATCTGTCCTTCTTTAACGATGTTCAAGATGCTTTTCCCTTTTTTCAGATACTCACTCCTTTCTTCTGGGCCTTGGGAGCTGGTCCAGTTCACACCCCCAATGTGCTCTTCCAATTTGGGTTCCGTGGCAGAGGACTGCAGATGGAAGTCCCTGAGCTGGCAGTCTGGCGTTGCCTTCTCGCGTTTTCGACTGTGAGGATCACTAAAGGTCTTGTTGAGGAAATCCTTGCTCTGGTTTTCGGGCTCATATGCAGAGCCACACTTCACCAGAGACGGTGAGCTCTCAGATTCTGCAGCAGAAAGCTTTTGCGGGTCACGGATGACGGACGGTGCTTTACTCAAGTGAGGGCTTTTCACGGGAGAAAGAACACAGAATGGCGTCATGGTGGAAGGTGAGCTCTCGGCACTTCCGGTAGAGCAGGCTTTGCCAGAAAGGCCATTGATGGTCGTGCACAAACCCAGAATTCTCTTATCTGAAGTCACCTTGGGAAAAGGGGCCAGCTGTTGACTGGATTTAATGTAAGGCACATCCAGAATCTCATCCATGTCAAGGTCATAATGCTCCAGTTCACCCAGCAAGGTGCTGGGCTCGGTGCTTTCGCTTTGGGGGCCGTTGCCTCCTTCTCCAGGGCTGAGCTCCTCAGGCTGGGTGCCTGGCTCCAAATCACTCCCTTTCTGGTACTCCACCTTCTGGTTCTTTTGGTCATCACTTTCATTGTTGTCCAGAGTCTCTGGCTGGTGTTTCAGCGGGGAAACTCGCTTCACGGGACGGAACTTACTGTACACATCAGCGATGCCTGTGGGCTTCTGTGTGTTTGCGATGAGAGCCGACACACTGCAATTCCAGCTCGAATTAGAAACTGTTTTGAAATACATAAAAGAGGAGAGTATTAAACGGAAACACTGAAGATATCTGGGCCGTGCAGGCAGATGTGGACCACTCACGTCATGTTCAAAGAAAGCCCCTGTCTAAGGGGACAACTAAGAGTGAATGAAAACCAAACACAAGATATCACAAAACAAACGGTTCATACTTACCCCTAGAAAACAGCGAGTAACAGAAGTGATGGCATATTGGTTCAAAATTAATTCAAGTAGTAAGTACGGTAAAAGGAGACAGCCAAAACAACAACAAACCCTGACAGACTTTTAGGTTCATTCCCTGGATGGCTATACCTCTTTGGAAGTATTATGAGACTTGTCACCACCTTGAGGAACAGAACTAGAGACAGGATCCTCTGCGTTAAATGGACTTGCAAATTAGTTTAGGGAGAGAAGGGATGGACGTGCACATTGGCGCATATGTGTGTGTGCACACACGTGTATATCCTTAAAGCTTAAGAGGTCTCATATAAAGAAGGGGTAAATTATTTAATATTGGACAAACTCAAACGGTGCCCTACTGGGTGATTCTCTGCCACAGATGAGTATTCCAGCGAGCCAGCGTTCAGGGAATTTCACAGTGCTTTCTGACATACGCACACAGCAACATAATGTTGTGTGACATACTTTATAATGGAACACACAGGAAAGTTCAACGCTCCCCTTCATTGTTGGCAAAGCTGGGAAGAATCAGGAGGAGAGGAAGATGCAAAGGGAGAGTGAGATGTGTGGGTCAGTGGTTTTGTTTTGTGTTTTTTCTTTCTCATTTCTCTGCAAAGCTCAGATAAAGGGTGCATGGTTTGCCTTTGAGTGAGTGTCTGGTTGAGATGGAGCATACAATGAAACAGCAATGGGTCTGGGCGTTAAAGATAAGAGCACTGTCTCTCCTAGTAAGCCTCGTGAAAGGCAACCCTGTGACTTCTCATGGTGCAGGGTGACAGAACACTAGTCTTCTCCATCGTGATGATCCTGCCTCCTCTCTGGGGCACTCCCCTGACTAGACAGCTGACCTGGCTTTTGCAAACTTGTAGGTCACTGATTTATGGACTCCTCCTCCTCTCCTTCCATTACATTTACACCATCCCCCTCCGAAGGGGGTAGATTTCAGGACATGCCTTCCAACTAGGAGCCTCTCCGCTCTCTCTCTCTTCTTCTGGAACAACCACAGGTGGGAAGTATTTAATCCCAAAGCTTGTGCCTGTGTCTGCTCTTTGCTACTGGGCACAACCAAAGAATTAAGGAGATGGGGTGCATTCAGGTCTCTAACTTCTACGACAGTCTCCGCTCCCACTAATTCTCGAGTGAAAGTGGCAGAGAAGTCATAAAATGCTCCCCAAATTTAGATCACTGGTCATTCTTGCTCTTACTGGGATGTATCTTAAAGGATTCAGAGAAGTTCTGGAAGCAAGTTAAGGAGGTGAGAGTAAGTGTTTGGAGCCTGAATGCAATGTAATTGTTGGTGGATGGGTTCTTCCCTCCAAAAGAGCATAATTTCCCGTAGGGTTTCAGAAGGTCTGCACCATGTGAAATTATGGCTCTGAGACCTTTAACATATAAGAAGACAATACTATGAGCTGTGGAGATAGGCCTGGATTCTGTCCAGTAAGAGACAGGTATTAACAAGGAATGGTCCAGAAGGGAAGGGAGGTATCTAGATGCTGTTAAGCTGCAGCGTCTCTTCCCGTTTGTTGGCTCCGGTTTAAGCTGTACACAGTACTTGGCACAGAGCACACAATTAACAAATGCGAGTATTTGAATTTGAATCTCACTTTGCGCAACGCATTAAATCTCCTTTTAAATGCCCGAAGCGCATCCTTCTGAGGGATTTACAGCTTAATATCACAGGGGACAAAAGCCCCGTTAATAAACTCCAAGGAGTGATAATCGCCAATAAGAGCTGGATTTCCTAAAGTTATTTATGAAAAGTAAATATGCAAAGGCAAAGACAAATTCCAGTTGGTCTATTATAAATTTAAAAAGGTTTCCTATCTTTTATAGGTCCATTTTTCCCTAAAAATGCAAAGCAATGAAGAATTGTCTGCCAGAAATTTCTGCCAAGCTTTTCTCTCTTCCTTTCAAGCACACATGGTTACTTATTTAAAACAGCAGACAAATAGTGGACAAAGAGTTTATAATGTGTAAATATGTCTTAATTTTATCCATCAAATTTTCTGCAAAGCTTAAAATACAGGGTGTGTGTGCGCAGGCGTGTGTGTGTATATGTGTAACCCTTGACATTTTGGAGATGTATACTTATTATTAGGTATGGTATTTGCTAATATTTTGCCAATTACCTTGATTCCTTTGAAACTTCTTCAAAATGTGCATCTCAGGATGTGATAAAAAAGTTTTTAAGTCACATAACTTAGTGGACCAATACAATGAGTGCATTGTGCCAATATATTTATGTATTGCATAAGGTCGTGGGTTCAAAGGGCTACTCTTTTATGTTGGCTTTATTTACATGTGAAATTTTTTCCAAGTGATACAGGGAAATGGATACCATATGTTTCCCAGCTGTTTTGTACTGACAGGAGCCATTAAGAACGCTCTATGGAAATGAATTCTGTCTGAGTCTTATAAAAACACTTCTTTCCACAGAAGGGTCTAGAAGCTGAAGAAGGGGCATCAACATTAGGCTTGTTGTCCTTCCTCTCATTCAAACCTCTGACTCTCTTTTAGGCTGAGAGGGTGAAATCTATGCTTTCTAATCTGTGTCTTGATGGCCAGGAAAAAAACAAACAAACAAATCCCAGTTACATAAAACTGATTGTTTAAGAGATTCTCATGAGAATGCTTTAATTGATTACTATGCATATTCATCTAAGAAAGAAGGAAGATTTTATGCTATACATAAGTCAAAACTTAGTATTATTTCTCCTAAGCTGGGAAAATGAGCATTTTAAGCACAACATAAGAAAAAGGGCTACTAATGATTGAAAAGATTTTAACTCAGAATTCTGTTAAGTCTACTCCAAATTTCATTTATACCGTTGTTCTACCCCAACACCATAATCGGTTTCTTAAAACACATGGAAACAAAGTTCAGACTAACTATAGTAAGTAGGAAAGTAGGAAGATTTTGAGGCTAACCTTGTTTTCTGGAAATCACGAATAAAACCTTCATATGTTAAGCTTTAAATCCCTGAAAATTTTATCTCTTTCTTATTAGATCTTTACAAGCTCTATGCAAACAGGGTCTGTGTCTAATTTATCTCTCTGGCTCAAAGCTCTCAGGAAACTGCTTTACAGAACTAGGTTTTTAATGACTTCTTGGTTGCATGGATTCATTTTTAACATGTTATGAAAGTAAACATGCCTAATACACCTTAAACCTGTCTACCTGATTATGTCACAAATTTTCTAAAATGGTTGGTAGGTAAGTGCAAATGTTTTTGAGGCTGATTTAGAGACCACAGTGATCTCTTCCAATCTAACTGGCATTGGAGCTGTCTCTAAGGTCCAGCAAGATGGCTTCCATTGCCTGCCATTCACGTGTCGCATTTCTGCCACAAGCGTTTCATGTGAGCCTTGGATGGGTGCATACTTGTCACAGGTAGATGTTCCAAAGCCAGGGTCTTACCCCCTCCTCCCTTATTCGCCCTCCTCCCTTTCTCCTTCTCATCCGGCACACACATCTACCTGTAAACCTGGCCTGGGTCATGTGACCACTCGTGCAGTCTCTCAAGCCATCTATCTGCAAAGCATTGCTGGCCCTTCTCTTCTGTTGACCTGTGTGTCCCTTCCCTCCAGGCACCAACTCTGCATGTGGCCCGATCCCAAATTTCTCTCAAGTCTGGTCCTTCTTTTCCATCCTGTTACACTGACTGGTCCACACTGGACCCTTGCACTGCAAAGTTCTAGCTACTTCTCTGGTCTCCCTTGGCAGTCCTGAGTCATCTCTCTTCATGTAGGTCTGATTTTGTCACTTCTTAGCTCAAAATCCTCAGATGGCCCTGTATTGCCTATGACATTTCCCCCTCTGTAGCATGCATATCCCTGTAGTATCTAGGATGGCACACAAGATCGATGCTGAATATTCCTGACTTAGAACATAAGGAAGCTTTGGGGCACCTGGGTGGCTCAGTCGGTTAAGTGCCTGATTTCAGCTCAGGTCATGATCTCACAGTCTGTGGGTTTGAGTCCCACATCGGGCTCTGTGCTGACAGCTCAGAGCCTGAAGCCTGCCTTGGATTGTGTTTCCCTTTCTCTTTGCTCCTCCCCGACTCATGCTCTGTCTGTCTCTCTCCCCCCCAAACAAATAAACGTTAAAAAATAAAAAAGAAAGTAAGGAAGCTTGATGCCATTCAACTTTCTTTTTTCCTTCTACATAATTTAAGGAGTCTCAGTTTGGTGCTACAATGGATTTAACTCCTCTCTAAAACTTACCATCTCCCTTAAAAATGAGGAGACAGCAGGTCTCAGGCTCAGAAACTTTCACAAGCAAAGACTTAATAGGAATGTTTTATTTTCATCACATTCATTTTATTTAAGAAAAATTTTTTAAAATATTTTTATTTATTTGTGTGAGAGAGAGAGAGAGAGAGAGAGAGAGAGAGACAGCATGAGCAGGGGAGGGTCAGAGAGACAGAGAGATACAGAATCTGAAGCAGTCTCCAGGCTCTGAGTTAGCTGTCAGCACAGAGCCCGATGTGGGCCTCGAACCCACGAACTCCGAGATCATGACCTGAGCTGACATCAGACGCTTAACCAACCGAGGCACCCAGGTGCCCCCGTCACATTCATTTTAATGATGAACTTGAATTTACTGCAATCGATGTTGGTTTTTCTTTTATTTTAATGTTTATTTATTTATTTTGAGAGAGAGGGAGCATGTGCACACATGAATAAATAGGGGAGAGGCAGAAAGAGAGAGGGAGAGGAGAGCAATTCAAGCAGGTTCTGCACTGTCAGTTTGCTACGTGGGGCTGGATCTCATGAGCTGTGAGATCATGACCGGAGGTAAAAATCAAGAGTC